TATACTTACAATAACTTAAATTTGGTTTAAGCTGTCTTTGACCAGCCGCCTATAATATTTGCATATATAGAGCATTTATATATATATATGTATATAATTTGAATCATATGACTGTCCGTCGGCTGTGTCCCAGATCCAAAAGCGGAGGGCAGATAATACCAACAAAGTAAATCCCAACTAGAGCCACAACCCCAGCCCCAAAATATACCATTAGTTGAAAAATTTGATAATATTTTCTAATATATATATTTTGAAGTGGTTTCTTTAAATAAAACAAGTAAGTGGTTCTAGTCGGGAGCTCCCGACTAGGGAATACCCTGAACCCTCTTATTCCAACACCAAATAAATGAAAAACAAGTAAGAGGTTCTACTCGAGAGCTCCCGAATAGGGGATACCCTGAATCCTCTTCTCCCAACATCAAATGAATATATATATTCTATTTTAGAAGCTATATGTTAAGTTTGGTGACTCTAGCTCTTATTATTTACCAAAATTGCCCAAAAAACAGGATATCGATATCGATTTTTATCGATTGCTTGGAAACGGAGTTATCGATTATCGGAAACAAACTCGATCTGCGCAGGCACTAGGATCACCTTTTTCTAAAATTTCAAGTCTCTAGTTCTTATAGGTTCATAGATCCTTGCGTTCATACATACGGACAGATGGGCAGAAGAACAGACGGACGGACGGACAGACAGATAGACAGGCGGACATGGCTAGATCGACTCGGCTATTGGTGCTGATCAAGAATATATATACTTTATGGGGTTGGAGATGCTTCCTTCTGCCTGTTACATACATTTGGATTTTGCACAAATACAATATACCCTTATACCCATTTTTAATGGGTTCAGGGAATTAAAAAATCGAAAAATTCATCTTGACCCCTGTCCCACCTACGTTAGGTGTCATAACGCTGATAATGGAATTCTGGAAAACTGGTTTTACATGTGCATAGGCGTTAGTTTTTGGCCAGCAAAATACGGTCCCATGGTAGGCAACGAAAGGGTAAATATGGTCTTATTGCATCCAGGGCTGGGAAAACGGCCCTTTGAATTGAATTTTAGACTACCATGAATACAGGTACAACCCCAGCCGTGTCTTTGATCCTGCTGCGCGTCTGTGAATAAAGTTAGAATAAGTTTGCTGACACCAAGCTTACTACGCCTCTTACAAAACTGTTCTGGACCTGCCAATCAATAGATATCAATGCATTGTTGGTAAACAAACATTTTAAATTTTAATAAATTTTGTTAAAAACCATCTATCCATTTTTGTTTTCCTTTTATTTTTTGTACATTTTTCATAATTAACCACAATTCAAACAAACATTGCAAATTTTTGAGGTTAAATTTGAAGCACCGGCCTTCTTTTCATTAGCGCTACTCTCGGGTCACATTCATATATATTATTATTACGAATAAATTTTTACCTAATTATAAATGGGTATGGTATATCTAATTGGAACGTCTGTCATTTTTACCGATACTAATGGAATGTCAACCCCATTTCTCTATCTGTCAATTTGAGTGGGCTTCAAGGCCAATCTGGCGCTGGCAAGACTTGGTATTTACTTGGTATTGGCGACATCAAGCGGCAGAAATTTCGTGTGTATTCACAATGATTTCTTATTTTACTGATGCACACAGGACTTAAGTATACATCTGCGTATTATTGATATTCCTCACATCCATAACAATATTATAAAGATTCGATTGAGGTACCAAGTGTTTTTCGCCAAGAATATTCACTTTTCTGAGTCCTTATGCGCGGGGGAATTTGGATCGTATGACTGTATTTCTGCCGTACCCCAGATCCAAAATACGGTGGCAGAACATACCAATATAGCAAATCCTAACCAGAATACGCCACGCCATTCATTCAAAGTTGCCTGTAAAGACAGTTTAATATCGTTAGTTAGTAAAAACGTCCCACTTACATTAGGTGTCATAACACCAACAATGGGAGGTGACAACAAGCCGGCTATAGAACCGAGTCCATTAGTGAGGGCCATAAGAGTTCCCGAATAACTGGGTGACATGTCCATAGGCGTTAGTTTTTGGCCAGCATAGTACGGACCCATAGTAAACAACGATAGGGTAAAAAAAACCACAACCAAGGTCTTATTGCATCCAGCATATGAGGCTATAACCATAAACATTCCAGGAAAAAAGCCGGCTGAATGTAAAAAGTCGAAAATTATCTTGAATGTCTGATACCCTCTACATTTTGCTTACCAATAAACGTAAACAATTTGCGTTCTAAATTTCTGGACATTTTTTCTGTACGAATTAGCCAATCTGCCAGAAATCCACAAAAGAGAGTGCTGCACCACATAGCAAGGAAGGGGAAGGAGGTCACAATGCCGTTGGAGCGTATAGAAAACTGAAGTACATCGGCCATGTACTTGGGCAAGCAGGATATCATCACAAAGTATCCCCAGTCATGACCCATCTGACTGATGACCACAGCGATCAATGCCTTGCTAAGCAGCATTTGTTTCCAGGGTATAGGCAGCTTACCCGTCTTTTCTGGTATTTTTTCGTTTAGGTAAGCCATCTCTTTAGGTTTGATGCATGGATGTGTTTTGGGTGCGCTGCTGCACAGGAATATCTGTCAGGGTAAAAAGATGAAGTACTAGAACATAACTGGTCATTCAGGTATAAAATAAATAAAACACTTACAAATAATATAAACCAGGCCACAGTTACGATGCCAAAAACATAGAGTGTTACCGACCAATGATAGAAGTGAAGCAAAAATCCAGAACATAAGTTGCTAATGACGGTACCTGCAGTCACCCCGCTATAGCAGAATGTGCCCAATGAGCCGCGCTCCTTGGCGGGTACCCAATAGGAGAGGAGTGTGGTCAGAGCCGGGAAAACGGGTCCCTGTGCGGCCCCCATTATAATACGGATTGCCATCAATCCCCATTCGGCGCCATATTCAAGAGCCAGCGGGGATAAAGCAGTGCTCAAGCCGGATATCAATACGCAGATGGCCAAGATCCATTTTGCGCCGAACTTGTCCGCCAATATGCCTCCGGGCAGATGGGCGGCTAGATAGCCGACGTAGAAGCTGCCCAGAACTACGCCCTGAAGCTCCTCGGACCATTCGTAAGTGCCTTCGTTCTGTTTGTGATAAATATTTATAAATTAAATGAATTGGGCGATCATTAGGTGGTCTGTATTCTCAAAATCATGTAAGCTGTGTGCAGTGGACGTGATGCAACGTTTTGTTGTATTATTTATAGTTTGATGTTGCTAATGCTATTTTATCCACATTGTAAATAGTTACAACGAACATGAGAAATCAGGCCCTGTATACACACACACATTGTATCCTTTGTCGTTCTTCGGCTCCTCCTCCTTGGGGCACACATCCTCCCCTGATTTATCATCCGTTCGATTTATGGGTATTACCAGCTTGGTGATAACATGTGAAAGCGAGACTCGATTCGTATAGACACAGATTAGCGCAAAGAAACCCATTATGGTGATGAGGATACGCAGTGGCAGTAGGCAGCCTGTCAATGTGGGCGTGGTTACCATAGTTGGGTGGTACTTTTTTTTTTTAAATAATCAATCTTAGCGTACCATAACTACAGGTGCGTCCCCAGCCGGGTCTATGATCCGCATCTTCTTTTTCCATTTAGTATTAGAAATTGGAAGCTGGTTTACTTCATGTTTATTTTCTGTTTTATTTAAAAAGTGATACTTGTAGACAAGTTAGCCAAATTTGATTAGAGATACCCGGGCCAAATGTGTATTTAAATATATGCGTCGTTTCCCCGCTTATATTGATAGATTGTAGGGTGCGACTTTAAACTTATTAGGCATATATACATATGTTCGTGACCATTATTATTCCTACTACTTTCACTGTTAAAATTAGATTAATTGATTAAATTAAATTTAATTTTGTGTTGATGCATCGGGTATTTATACCATGAACCCATTAAAAATGGGTATAACGGTAAATTGTATTTGTGCAAAATCCAAATGTATGTAACAGGCAGAAGAAAGCTTCTCCGACCCCATAAAGTATATATATTCTTGATCAGCATCAATAGCCGAGTCGATCTAGCCATGTCCGTCTGTCCGTTCGTCCGTCCGTATGTATGATGGCAAGGATATCAGAACCTATAAGAGCTAGAGAAATTTTAGCTGTACGTCCTCCTAGTGCCTGCGCAGATCGAGTTTGTTTCGATAATCGATAACTTACTCCGTTTCCAAGCAATCGATAAAAATCGGGATATCGATCCTGTTTTTTGGGCAATTTTTGTATATAATAAGAGCTAGAGTCACCAAACTTGACATATAGCTCCTAAAAATGAATATATATATATATATATATATATATATATATATATTTGATGTTGGAAGAAGAGGGTTAAAGGTATCCCCTAGTCGGGAGCTCCCGACTAGAACCTCTTATTTGTTTTATAATAAAGCTGTTGATTACGTTCTATGTTTCTCCATGAATCTTTGACGAGTCTAAAAATAATCTAAAATTTGTTGTCTTCGGGGAATGAAATTGAAAGGAATATTGTTTTCGTTGTTATCAATAACATGTATACTCAAACGTATATACTCATTTTGAAAGGCTTATAAAAATTATATAATACTCGCCTTTTTAAACATCTTAAATACCAGAATATCTAAATCTTGATCAAGGAATAAAAATCAATATATGTGGACTTGTTGTTTCATCAAGACAGGGAACTGGGACATATATGTGATCCCTTTAACTGCCAACATGGAGATCAATTTACAGTTGAAGCCATCTGGGCTGACCCCGAACTTATCCATTAAACGAAGGCAGGTTACCGGTAGAAATGGCGTTACGAGACGTCGTTCAAGGTATGCAAATTTAGTTCACCTTTCGCACTCACTCACGCACACCTACCTTATATCGAATTGCCGTGCGGCTCGTGACACACTTGACTTTACGTAAATCATCAAAAAAGAAAAGAGGATGGGAAATCGATATCAATTTCAACGTATTTTAATTATAAGAAGACGATACAGGTATTTTTAATACGCGCACATTACATGCTCATTGTGTTCACTGCAGCATTTTGTGCAGAAAAATTTGGATCGTACGGCTGCATTTCAGTCGTGCCCCAGAGACAGAAAAAGACAGCAGATAATACTAATATGACCAGACCCAACCAGAATACCCAACGCCATTCATACAATGTTGCCTGCAATGGAAGAGTAAAAGAGGATTATATATATACACAACGCATCATATAAAAAAGCATCAACTTAATCCACTTACGTTAGGAGTCATGGCACCGATAATAGGAGGTGAAATCAAGCCGGCTACAGCCCCGATGCCATTAATGATGGCCATAAGAGTGCCCGAATAACTGGGTGACATGTCCATAGGCGTTAGTTTTTGGCCAGCATAGTACGGACCCATGGTAAACAGCGCTAGGGTAATAAATACCACAACTAGGCCCTTATTGCATTCGGCATACGAGGCTGCTACCATAAACGATCCCGGAAAAAGGGCGCCTAAGTTAAACAAAAAAAATTAAAAGGTTCTAAACCAATTTCCTCACCCTGTTTACGCCCTATACATTAACCGTATACAGGGTATAACCAGACGGGCCGTCATATTTTAAACTGTACTCACCAATAAATGTAAATAATTTTCGTTCTGAATTTATGGACATTTTCCCTGTACGAATTAGCCAATCGGCCATTAATCCAGAAATTAGCGAGCTGCCCCACATCGCGACAAAGGGGAAAGTGGACACGATGCCGTTTGTGCGTATGGAAAACTGAAGAACATTGGCCATATATTTGGGTAGATAGGAAATCATAGCGTAGTAGCTACAGTCATGCCCTATCTGGCCGATGATCGCTGCGAATAAAGCCTTGCTAAGCAGTATTTGTCTCCAGGGTATCAGGATGTTATCTGACTTTTTTGGTATTTGCTTGGCCAAAAAAGAAATTTCCATAGGGCTGATGCATGGATGTTCATAGGGTGTGCTAGTGCCTAGTAAGATCTGCAATGGTTACAGATTAAGGCAACAATTAGCAGCGTACTGAAAATTATTTACAAGTCGGGTGATTGCTGACGTATTGGCTTAGTAATAAAATAAAGCTTACAAAAAATATAAACCAAACTCCTGTTGTAAACCCAAAAGTAATAAGCGTAATCGTCCAGTCGAAGTAGTGGAGCATTTGTCCGGAGCATATATTGCTTATGACGATACCGGCGGTAATCCCGCTGTAGCAGAAGGTGCCCAAGGAGACGCGCTCCTTGGCGGGTACCCAATGAGAAAGGAGCGTAGTAAGAGCAGGGAAAATGGGTCCTTGTGCCGCGCCCATTAAAATACGGATGGCTATCAAGCCCCATTCGGCCCCATAAAAAATAGCAACCGGAGTAAAAGCAGTGCACATGCCGGAAAGTAATAAGCTGATGCCCAAGATCCACTTTGCGCCGAATTTGTCTGACAAAATGCCTCCGGGTAGATGGCTGAAAAAGTAACCAATGTAAAAGCTGCCCAGTACTAAGCCCTGTAGCTGCTCAGACCATTTATAGGTGCTTCCACTCTGTTTTCGGGGAAAAGGATTCAGATGGATGCCTTAATTAGTAGTAAATATAAAACGGAACCTTTGTAAACTCACATTGATTCCTAAGCCGTCGTCGGACACCTCCGGCGGACACACCCCGCTATTTTGGTCCGTTCGATTCATGGGTACAACCAGCTTGGTGATAACAAACGAGATTGATACACGATTTATATAGGCACAGATTAACGCTAAAAACCCCATTAATGTGATGACAGCGCGTTGCGGCAGTAGGCAGCCTGGCAATGTGATTTTGGTGGGAATGTGCTAAATTATCGATGTCCATTTTTAACCCACCATGACTAAAATTGCGAGCCCAGACAGGTCTCTTGTCCTCATCCTCTGTTTCCATTTGGTGGATGTAATCGAAAGCACATTTTTTTTTTTTGTTTTTGAGTTGTTTGCTTTGTTTGTGCAGTGTTTTCCTGACAAAAAGCTTGTGATTATTTAACATTAAACCTGTTTTATTTAAAATGGTATACATTTAGACAAGTTAGACAAATTTATTTTTTCCAACCGAAAGTGATCAGTAAGGATACGCTCGGGCCTGAAGTGAACTTTTCAATAATCGTATTTATAATTATATTCCCAAATCTTGTCTCTGCTTGGATTGAGGATAAGGGGCGTCTTCAAGCCCGTAAGATTTTGAGGATAGTTTCGAGTTTCCGTTATCGATGCGAACATACGATCGAACTAAGAGACAGTTGGACATTTGCTTTATAGGCTTATGCTCGTTTTTATTTCGTTTTCATATGAACAGTCCAAGGCTATGACAAATGCTTACAAATAAAAAAAAAAAAATGTACTTATTAGTAACGTCGAGCTTAAAGTAAATTCCGAAAAAATATGCGATATTAATATAGGCGACGCAGCCTATCCCTCCTTTTTTTGTTCGGCTCTTGGATCGTATGGCTGCACTTCAGCCGAGCCCCAGATCCAAAATATGATGGCAGAAACTACTAAAATAACAAGTCCCAACCAGAATACCCAACGCCATTCATTCATTGTAGCCTGCAATTGGAGAGAAATAGAGAATTTTATTTAAAAAACTAATCTGATAAGTCAGCTTTAAGCGAATGCCACTTACGTTAGGTGTCATAACACCAACAATGTATGGTGAAAACAGGCCGGCAAATGAGCCGAGCCCATTAGTAATGGCCATAATAGTGCCCGAAAAACTAGGTGACATGTCCAAAGGCGTCAGTTTCTGGCCAGCATAGTACGGACCCATGGTGAACAGCGATAGGGTAAAAGACACCACAACCAAGGTCTTATTACAACCGGTGTACGAGGCTATGACCATGAACAGTCCCGGGAAAAAGGCGCCTAAGCTTAAAGAATTTAAAATATTTTTCAAAAAAAATTCAGCTGTACTTACCAATAAACGTAAACAGCTTTCTTTCAAGATTTATTGACAATTTGCCTGATCTTATTAGCCAATCGGCCAGAAAGCCAGACAAAAGTGAGCTGACCCACATCGCAAGGAAGGGAAAGGCGGTCAAAATGCCGTTGGAGCGTATGGAAAACTGAAGTACATCGGCCATGTACTTGGGCAGGCAGGATATCATCACATAGTATCCCCAGTCATGCCCTATTTGGCTGATGATCACAGCGAGCATGGCCTTGCTAAGCATCATTTGTTTCCAGGGTATCGGTAACTTATCAGCTTTCTTTGGTATAAGTTCTTCCAGATAATCCATTTCCTTAGGTTTGATGCATGGATGTCCGGAGGGGGAACTAGTGCATAGCAATATCTGTCGGAATAAACGCATGAAGGGCTAGAATTATACTGACATCTACACTAATCTGTCAGGTAGGTAAAAACCAAATGAAACACTTACAAAGAATATAAACCAGAGGATAGTTACGCTGCCAAAAACATAGAGAGTTATCGACCAATGAAAGCTGTGAAGCATTAATCCAGAGCAAAAGTTGCTAAGCACAGTACCGGCGGTAACTCCGCTGTAACAGAAGGTTCCCAATGTGGCGCGCTCTTTGGCGGGTACCCAATGAGAAAGGAGCGTAGTAAGAGCAGGGAAAATGGGTCCTTGTGCCGCGCCCATTATAATACGCATTGCCATCAATCCCCATTCGTGGCCATATTGAAGAGCAATCGGGGAAAAAACAGTGGCCAGACCGGAGATTAACAAGCTGATGCCCAAGACCCACTTTGCGCCGAATTCGTCCGCCAATATGCCACCGGGCAAATGGGTGATTAGATAGCCGATGTAAAAGCTACCCAGTACTAAGCCCTGTAGCTGCTCAGACCATTCATACGTGCCTGGAGTCTGTTTGCGGGGGATTGGATTCAGATGGATAAAATAATAGTTAATATTAAATAGAATTTTTGTCCACTTACAAAGTATCCTGCTTCTTCCGTGGACACCTTCTCCGGCGGACACACGCCGGTATGTGTTTCCGTTCGATTTTTGGATACAACCAGCTTTGTGATAACATGCGACATTGATACACGATTCGTGTAAGCGCAGATTAACGCAAAGAAACCCATTATGGTAGCAACAATGCGCAGCGGGAGTAGACAACCTATATGGGTGTGGTAGGCAATTATTGTGGCTGCATAACCGAATTATTTGAAAACTACCTTTGCTGCATTTCTGTCCCCATGCTGGTTTTTTATCTGCGTCCATAATTTTGTGTATAATACTTATAATGCAACCTGAATATGTTTATTCTTTTTTGTTGTTAACAGAAAATTTTAAACATTTTTGTTGGCAGATTGAAAATAAAATGATACAAATTATAATAAAATATGTCAGATTGGGTTATTGACTAAACTGATGGGTCGTGCGATGATTAAATAATTAAATAAGGTATGGGGAATGTTTGGAAACGTCGATTTCACAAATTATAAGGTATAGGACTTAACATTTTGATCGTGGGTCCTCCAAGGCTGTTTAAATATCTCGGGTATCTCGTAGTAATGCACTTACAATAACGAATTTTTTCACATTAATTATTAAAAAACAAGCTATTAAATCTATCGGCGCCCTACTTTCTGATAGAGACCTTTTAGTAGTTCTTGGGGACTTTATTCTTCCAGATGTCGATTGGTCATCGCCATCAGACTCAAATTTTCTATTGCCGTCTTCGTCAAACGAACTTATTGATGGTCTACATGAAATGTCCTCACTGCAGGTTAATCGTGTGCGCAATTAATAAACAGATCTCTTAATCTAATTATCGTTTTAGATTCTTTTAACAGTGTTGTGCACAGGATCAATCCGCTTACACTTCCTGAAGACCATTTTCACCAAACTCTTGAAATGGTCATTGATTTACCAGCCCGAGTCCCTATCAAGGGATCGGAATTATTTATTTATTTATGAACCAATGCTGGTAGCTTTCTGGTTTTCTTAACTTAAAAATATTACATTAAATAATTAACTAACTAAACAGAAAATATGAAAGAAAGAAAAGAAAGAAAGAAAATGTAAGGCTCATTAGTTTTAAAGAAAGAATTCTTTATGCTTATGTTTAATATGAGCACTATTGGCAAAAATATCGAAATGCATTTCAGTTGGAAGACTGTTATAAAGCTTTAATGATCTGTTGATTGGCTCGTTACTTACATAAGCACGTTACTTATATCGCAAAGTCTTGATCGGCACATAAAAGTTAACGCGTGCTAGAAGGGAAGGCCAGTCAATAATTCCCACAATTAGATTGTTTAGAAAAAGCAAAGCTGATATCACTCTTCTATCTTCCAGAGATGACAAATGTAATAATCGACACCTAGCTCTGTATGGCGGTAAGGGGTCAGCAAAGTTAAGGCAATGCAAATTAAATTTTAAAAACTGTTTTTGCAGCCTTTCAATCCTATTTGTGTGCACAATTGCGGATGGGCTCCAAATACAAAAAGCATACTCTAATATTGACCGCATAAAGGCCGAATATAAAGATAATCTTGTGAACGGGTCCTTAAACCGGGTAGAATGGCGCCAAACAACCCGAAACATCGCATACGCCTTAGGCATAATATAGTTTATATGCTGAATGAATAAGAGCTTAGAGTCGAAAATTACTGCTTAGTACAAAGCTTCTGATTTTCGAGTTAGTGTTTGCCCATTAATGGAATAGGATAACAGAATGCCATAAACACATTTGCTTAGTGTGCTATGATAGCATTTAGATTAGTTATGTGGTAACTGGCTATTACTACACCATTCAGACAGGTTGTCTACGTCTTTCTGCAAAACCGAGAAAACTGAGACGAAATGCATTTGAATATTTTAAGGTCATCGGCAAATAATATATAATCAGACGAGCGGCAGCAATTCCCTATAACAAAAATAAACAAGTTAAATAGAAGCGGACCAAGACAACTCGCGCGAGGTACCTCCGAAGATGCGACATAAGGTGCGGAGAAAGTATTGTTGATCAGTACGCGATTATAACGATCAGTCAGATAACATTTTAAGCAGCTTAATAAAGAAGAGTGATAACCTAGCCTAGACAGTTTCTTTACGAGAACGACGTGACTGACCTTATTGATGGCTTTAGAAAAATCAGTATACACTGCATCAACCTGACAACGACGCTCAAAGCTCTGGATGCAAAAATTGTAAGATTGCTAAATTGGTCACTGTAGATCTGCCCGGCGGAGTCCGGAGCCCATGCGCCGATCGAGTTTGTTTCCGATAATCGATAACTTACTCCGTTTCCCAGCAATCGATAAAAATCGATATCCTGTTTTTTGGGCAATTTTGGTAAATAATAAGAGCTTGAGTCACCAAACGTGACATATAGCTTCTAAAATAAACAAGAGGTTCTAGTCGGGAGCTCCCGACTAGGGGATACCCTGAACCCTCTTATTTTAACACCAAATATATTTAAAAAAAATTTCCCTTGGCAGGGCTCGAATTTGCAACTGACCGCATTACTTACTGTCGACTCTACTCAACAGCCACACCAGCAAAAAAAAAAATAATAATACTTTCCCCGGTAGGGCTCGAACTCGCGACAGACCGCACTACTTGCTATGCCTCTACTCAGCAGCCACACCAACAATTAAGTACTTATGATAAAAAAAGGAACTAAAATAACATTACAAAAAAAAGATGCAATTACCATGCTATTAGAATGCGAAGCAGACGCGCATGAATGTGTGTGTGTACATGTATACAGAAATTCTTAAAGCTGCTGCCCCATTCAATTGCGCAGTTGCATATAACTTTGGTTTTTCTTGACCGATCTTTATGAAATTTTCTACAGTATAATTTATTGTACCATAGAATATTTGCGTATTCTAAAAAAATCAATTGCATTTAAATTGTGGTTTAAATTGGTTGGCAATAAAAGTTGGGTTATTAACATGATTTATAGCTCTGGAGTGGTAGCGGGGATGTGGCGATAGGTATGAAACAAAGGATACTTGAAATATCTATAATATTCTAGAAGCAGTATATCATGTTTGGTGCCTCTAGCTCTTATTATTTACCCAATTTGCTAAAAAAAAACAGAATGTCGATATCGATTTTTCGATTGCTCGGAAACGGAGTAAGTTATCGATTATCGGAAACAAACTCGATCTGCGCAGGCACTAGGAGCATCTACATCTAAAATTTCAAGTCTCTAGATCTTATAGGTTCTGAGATCCTTGCGTTCATACATACGGACGGACGGACGGACGGACGGACGGACGGACGGACGGACGGACGGTCAGACAGACGGACATGGCTAGATCGACTCGGCTATTGATGCTGATCAAGAATATATATACTTTATGGGGTCGGAGATGCTTCCTTCTGCCTGTTACATACATTTGGATTTTGCACAAACACAATATACCCTTATACCCATTGAACAGTCCAAGGCTATGACAAATGCTTACAAATAAAAAAAAAAAAATGTACTTATTAGTAACGTCGAGCTTAAAGTAAATTCCGAAAAAATATGCGATATTGATATAGGCGACGCAGCACAGGTGCCTATCCCTCCTTTTTTTGTTCGGCTCTTGGATCGTAGGGCTGCACTTCAGCCGAGCCCCAGATCCAAAATATGATGGCAGAAACTACTAAAATAACAAGTCCCAACCAGAATACCCAACGCCATTCATTCATTGTAGCCTGCAATTGGAGAGAAATAGAGAATTTTATTTAAAAAACTAATCTGATAAGTCAGCTTTAAGCGAATGCCACTTACGTTAGGTGTCATAACACCAACAATGTATGGTGAAAACAGGCCGGCAAATGAGCCGAGCCCATTAGTAATGGCCATAATAGTGCCCGAAAAACTAGGTGACATGTCCAAAGGCGTCAGTTTCTGGCCAGCATAGTACGGACCCATGGTGAACAGCGATAGGGTAAAAGACACCACAACCAAGGTCTTATTACAACCGGTGTACGAGGCTATGACCATGAACAGTCCCGGGAAAAAGGCGCCTAAGCTTAAAGAATTTAAAATATTTTTCAAAAAAAATTCAGCTGTACTTACCAATAAACGTAAACAGCTTTCTTTCAAGATTTATTGACAATTTGCCTGATCTTATTAGCCAATCGGCCAGAAAGCCAGACAAAAGTGAGCTGACCCACATCGCAAGGAAGGGAAAGGCGGTCAAAATGCCGTTGGAGCGTATGGAAAACTGAAGTACATCGGCCATGTACTTGGGCAGGCAGGATATCATCACATAGTATCCCCAGTCATGCCCTATTTGGCTGATGATCACAGCGAGCATGGCCTTGCTAAGCATCATTTGTTTCCAGGGTATCGGTAACTTATCAGCTTTCTTTGGTATAAGTTCTTCCAGATAATCCATTTCCTTAGGTTTGATGCATGGATGTCCGGAGGGGGAACTAGTGCATAGCAATATCTGTCGGAATAAACGCATGAAGGGCTAGAATTATACTGACATCTACACTAATCTGTCAGGTAGGTAAAAACCAAATGAAACACTTACAAAGAATATAAACCAGAGGATAGTTACGCTGCCAAAAACATAGAGAGTTATCGACCAATGAAAGCTGTGAAGCATTAATCCAGAGCAAAAGTTGCTAAGCACAGTACCGGCGGTAACTCCGCTGTAACAGAAGGTTCCCAATGTGGCGCGCTCTTTGGCGGGTACCCAATGAGAAAGGAGCGTAGTAAGAGCAGGGAAAATGGGTCCTTGTGCCGCGCCCATTATAATACGCATTGCCATCAATCCCCATTCGTGGCCATATTGAAGAGCAATCGGGGAAAAAACAGTGGCCAGACCGGAGATTAACAAGCTGATGCCCAAGACCCACTTTGCGCCGAATTCGTCCGCCAATATGCCACCGGGCAAATGGGTGATTAGATAGCCGATGTAAAAGCTACCCAGTACTAAGCCCTGTAGCTGCTCAGACCATTCATACGTGCCTGGAGTCTGTTTGCGGGGGATTGGATTCAGATGGATAAAATAATAGTTAATATTAAATAGAATTTTTGTCCACTTACAAAGTATCCTGCTTCTTCCGTGGACACCTTCTCCGGCGGACACACGCCGGTATGTGTTTCCGTTCGATTTTTGGATACAACCAGCTTTGTGATAACATGCGACATTGATACACGATTCGTGTAAGCGCAGATTAACGCAAAGAAACCCATTATGGTAGCAACAATGCGCAGCGGGAGTAGACAACCTATATGGGTGTGGTAGGCAATTATTGTGGCTGCATAACCGAATTATTTGAAAACTACCTTTGCTGCATTTCTGTCCCCATGCTGGTTTTTTATCTGCGTCCATAATTTTGTGTATAATACTTATAATGCAACCTTAATATGTTTATTCTTTTTTGTTGTTAACAGAAAATTTTAAACATTTTTGTTGGCAGATTGAAAATAAAATGATACAAATTATAATAAAATATGTCAGATTGGGTTATTGACTAAACTGATGGGTCGTGCGATGATTAAATAATTAAATAAGGTATGGGGAATGTTTGGAAACGTCGATTTCACAAATTATAAGGTATAGGACTTAACATTTTGATCGTGGGTCCTCCAAGGCTGTTTAAATATCTCGGGTATCTCGTAGTAATGCACTTACAATAACGAATTTTTTCACATTAATTATTAAAAAACAAGCTATTAAATCTATCGGCGCCCTACTTTCTGATAGAGACCTTTTAGTAGTTCTTGGGGACTTTATTCTTCCAGATGTCGATTGGTCATCGCCATCAGACTCAAATTTTCTATTGCCGTCTTCGTCAAACGAACTTATTGATGGTCTACATGAAATGTCCTCACTGCAGGTTAATCGTGTGCGCAATTAATAAACAGATCTCTTAATCTAATTATCGTTTTAGATTCTTTTAACAGTGTTGTGCACAGGATCAATCCGCTTACACTTCCTGAAGACCATTTTCACCAAACTCTTGAAATGGTCACTGATTTACCAGCCCGAGTCCCTATCAAGGGATCGGAATTATTTATTTATTTATGAACCAATGCTGGTAGCTTTCAGGTTTTCTTAACTTAAAAATATTACATTAAATAATTAACTAACTAAACAGAAAATATGAAAGAAAGAAAAGAAAGAAAGAAAATGTAAGGCTCATTAGTTTTAAAGAAAGAATTCTTTATGCTTATGTTTAATATGAGCACTATTGGCAAAAATATCGAAATGCATTTCAGTTGGAAGACTGTTATAAAGCTTTAATGATCTGTTGATTGGCTTGTTACTTACATAAGCACGTTACTTATATCGCAAAGTCTTGATCGGCACATAAAAGTTAACGCGTGCTAGAAGGGAAGGCCAGTCAATAATTCCCACAATTAGATTGTTTAGAAAAAGCAAAGCTGATATCACTCTTCTATCTTCCAGAGATGACAAATGTAATAATCGACACCTAGCTCTGTATGGCGGTAAGGGGTCAGCAAAGTTAAGGCAATGCAAATTAAATTTTAAAAACTGTTTTTGCAGCCTTTCAATCCTATTTGTGTGCACAATTGCGGATGGGCTCCAAATACAAAAAGCATACTCTAATATTGACCGCATAAAGGCCGAATATAAAGATAATCTTGTGAACGGGTCCTTAAACCGGGTAGAATGGCGCCAAACAACCCGAAACATCGCATACGCCTTAGGCATAATATAGTTTATATGCTGAATGAATAAGAGCTTAGAGTCGAAAATTACTGCTTAGTACAAAGCTTCTGATTTTCGAGTTAGTGTTTGCCCATTAATGGAATAGGATAACAGAATGCCATAAACACATTTGCTTAGTGTGCTATGATAGCATTTAGATTAGTTATGTGGTAACTGGCTATTACTACACCATTCAGACAGGTTGTCTACGTCTTTCTGCAAAACCGAGAAAACTGAGACGAAATGCATTTGAATATTTTAAGGTCATCGGCAAATAATATATAATCAGACGAGCGGCAGCAATTCCCTATAACAAAAATAAACAAGTTAAATAGAAGCGGACCAAGACAACTCGCGCGAGGTACCTCCGAAGATGCGACATAAGGTGCGGAGAAAGTATTGTTGATCAGTACGCGATTATAACGATCAGTCAGATAACATTTTAAGCAGCTTAATAAAGAAGAGTGATAACCTAGCCTAGACAGTTTCTTTACGAGAACGACGTGACTGACCTTATTGATGGCTTTAGAAAAATCAGTATACACTGCATCAACCTGACAACGACGCTCAAAGCTCTGGATGCAAAAATTGTAAGATTGCTAAATTGGTCACTGTAGATCTGCCCGGCAGAGTCCGGAGCCCATGCGCCGATCGAGTTTGTTTCCGATAATCGATAACTTACTCCGTTTTCCAGCAATCGATAAAAATCGATATCCTGTTTTTTGGGCAATTTTGGTAAATAATAAGAGCTTGAGTCACCAAACGTGACATATAGCTTCTAAAATAAAAAATATATATATATTTATATTTGATTTTGGAAGAAGGGGTTCAAGGTATCCCCTAGTCGGGAGCTGCCGACTAGAACCTCTTACTTGTTTATACTTTGTCTTATGCCGATGTGCAACCGAAATATATTGGTGGCAAAGTACAATAAAATTGTTTTCATGAATGCTTCTAGCGGCTGCATAGAAATCTTCCTTTGAAAATATAATAGTTCCTAAATTAAAAATGTTAGAAATGGAGCCCTCGTCGCAATTATAACATTTTTAAAAGTTCGACCTAAAAAATCTCTCGAAGAGATCTGCTTTACCTGAAGTTGATGGCATCGATGAGGTTGTCTTTTTCGAATTGACAAACGACCAGAACTTTTTTGGGCAAATCTTAATCCCATGCTTGATATTGAGTATATTGAGTATATTTTGGTAATAGAGAAATTTGTTTAAAAATTCAAACTCTCGCTTTTGTAGAGAATAGCTTTCCCAATCGGAGAGTCTCCGATATTTACAGAATTTCTTACAAAAATTTTTTGTGTAGTTTTTTAAGTGTTTTTAGACTCTTTTTTTTGCCAAGGCAAACCATGCAAACCTTTTCCGTGGGGCATGATAATGCAGAACGTTATGAAGAGCTGAGATAAAGCTATCAAAGCAGTAGTCCAAATTGCTATGCGATAAGATTCTCTGCCAATCGAGAGTAGAAAAACAGTTATTGATAATATTAAAGTTGCAGTAAGTAAGATTATAGTCATAGAAGTTAAATGACTGTGTAAGAGGCAAGAATGTATAAAATGTACTAACAATAGGATTGGAACATGATGCATGTCACTACTAGTTAAACATTTACTTAAATTAAAATAAATGTCTAAGTTCTGAAAAATTAGATATAATATTTTATGCAATTGGTTGAAAATTGTATTAATTTGGGATAAGCCCATACTACATAATTCATCAATTACAATAGTTTCGTGTGGATGATGAACATTGAATGGCAGATAGGATGTGGAATTAGGAAACGACGACCATGCCAGTTCGCCAAGGTTGAAATCTCCCATAACACATAGCGAACATTAGGCGTTCAGACTATGGTGAATGCTGCGAATGTTGCACACATGCGCTTTGTATAGGTCGAAAGGGCTATTAGGCAGAAAATATGAGACACATATGTATACAAATAGTGCCAGTGCCGCCGCCCACAAGCACGGCCAACTGGTCCAGTGTAGAGACATCGTAATTTAGCCGTAGCGTTTCACATCGCAATGTGTGTCGCGCTGAAATTTAACAGCGTCTTTGTCTTTACGAAGGACACAAAAGGTTCTGGTATCAAAAAATTCAGCGTCATAGAAATCCGAGTTAAGCCATCTCATCAAAATCACATTCGGATGTTGCCATGTGAAGCATTTGAGATTTAGTTCGCATTCCAGATATGTTCTGTTAATAAATCTTGAGATTACCAGTAGCTTTATCTGAATCCAGCATCAACGCAGTCGCAATTGAATGGTGTGATGGCATTAAGGAATTATTTCCCAAAACGTGAAGGCTATCAGATGAGCGACTAGCTAGTTGTCGCCCTGGCGCCGATAAAGAACATAAAGAAAAGCGCTCCAGAATTCCAAATAATTCAAGCGAAGAGAGTGGCCAATGCAAGCGACGGCCTTATAATATAATCGAAGAGCCTCTTACCGATTGTCAAAACGCAGTCCGATGAAGAGAGCGTAACTCGAAGTAAGGGCAGCACTCTGATAAAGAGCGTGCGTGAAGAGTAGCTGCAGCACGCAACAGGTTAGTCATCCAGTCATCGCAGCAAATATCGAAGGGAGCCGAGTGCAGCGAAATTAGACGACTGGCTGCTTCCATATTTATTAGGCCTGTGCACGAATCTAGTCACTTTTAATGATAATGGCCAAAACGAAGTGTTACAGACTTTTGTAAATAACGGTTCAGGAGCCCCTAACTTAAAGTTGACATATCGCATTGATGACAAATCCGCATTTAGTTTAACCAGCTTGAAACACGTAAGCGCTTCAACATTACCTTTAAGATTGTTAGCAACATATCTTAACACCGCCCCTGGTGCGTTTTGGTTAAGAATTTACCAACATGTAAGCAATTAGGCGCTTCGCCAACCACAAGTGTGTTGTTATTATTTGCCCGTTTCCTCTTTTACTTTTTTCGAATTTATACGGAACATTCGCTCTCAAACTCTGCATGCGTTTCGGCTGCATAGACGGGTAGTGACCGAGTTCAGCTGTTGAAACAGATTGTTGATCGCTGTTGAGTCTTTGTATTTATTATATGCTTAGTAGCAAGATTAGGAACAGTTTTGGCAATGCAATTCTGCTCTAATGTTGCTTTTAAGCCGTCATAATGTTTTTCCAGGTTTAGCACTTTAGCACTAAGATCATACATTTTCGTGTGAGAATCATTAGACACGGCACAGTAGTCACACTGCCATATTTTTCCACTCAAAATTCCATCTGTTTTAGGGATTGCCTTCGCCGTTTTTGCCTTTAATTTTCACATAATCCTAAGTAATTTTTCAACTTTGTCAATTCCAAACGAAAGACATTTATTTTGCCTTCTTCGGTTAAGTTAGCAGATCAGAGCGCGAACACTGATCCAGGCATAGCTGTTCGCAAACTTTTTTCAAACTACCTACTCCTTCTCTAGGTATAATGAAGATCAGTCTTATCCTTATTAGTTACAGAGGTGAAACTGCATCTTACATTTCATTATTACCGAAAGTTCGCTTCTTAGAGACCTTAACACTATCAAGCCGGTTTACTCACCGGGCCCTGATGCTGTTTCTGCTTGCGTCCTTAGATACAGCGCTGCAGCATTATGTAAACCCGTTTTAAAACTTTTTGAATTGTCCGTAAACAGTTCATGTTTTCCGGCCATTTGGAAGGAATCATACATTATCCCTCTCCATAAGAAAGGGAGTAAGTCCGATGTCGAAAACTATAGAGGTATTTCCAAATT